AAACACGCAAACATCAATTAAAACACCACAACTTCAACTAATGAAAATCCACGCTCATTGGAATGGTTCTTGACAGACAAAGCACACTTGCTGTCTAGAATGACAATGTGAGCAAAAGATTTCCACAGACAACCGTACAACAACTGAAAACATTCTTTCACATTTCAACTACATATATATATATATATATATATATATATATATAGATATATATATACACTATATATATACGTATGATATATACCATACATACATATACATATATATATAATATATATAATAATAATATATATATATATATATATATATATATATATATATACTCATACTATCTACACACAAGCACACACGATTGTGACACGGTTTCACAGCCCGGCCTCTGGTCCCTCGGCCTAAACCACGGGCAGCCGAGCGTCTCACGTCGCACCACAGCCGAGATCACGCCGGTCAGCGGACCGCTCGGCACCAGCTGGCGGGTCAGCGGGCTGGTCAGCGCCAGCGGGCCAGTTAGCGCCAGTGGGCCGGACAGCGGGCCGGTCAGCGCCAGCTGTCCGCACAGCGGACCGGTCGGCGCCAGCTTTCCGGACAGCGAACCGGTCGGCGCCAGCTGTACGGTCAGCGGACTGGTCGGCGCCACCTGTCCGCACAGCGGGCCGGTCGGCGCCAGCTGGCCGCACGGCGGGCCGGTCGGTGCCAGCTAGCCGTACAGTTACGCGGCGCGCTTGGCGTCGCGGGCGGCCGGGCTGGGCGCCGCATCGTCCCTGATGACGGGCAGCGCCGGCGAGCGGCGCTGGTCGGCCGACAGGACGCCGGACGGCGCGCCGCCGCTCTGTCCCGACGGCAGCCGCGGAAGCCGCGCCACCGGCTGCTGGCGAGGCACGTCCGGCGGCGTCAGCGACGGACCGACCAGTCACTCCGGCATCGGCGGCTGTCGCTTGCGCGCGCCGGCCGCACGTCACCACATCAGAGGCGCGCCGGCCGCACGCCTCTCCGATCACGGCGGCGTGATCGGAGAGGCGCCGGAGCGACGCGCGCATGACGGGCTCGGGGCTCACCTTCTCGGAGTACTGCTTTAGGAAATTGTGCTTCATCAGCTGGGTGCAGGTCGGCCTCGTCTCCGGATCCTTGTCCACACAGCGCTGCAGAAGGCGAAGGCGTATCAGGAGTTTGTGGAGAACATAAATCTGCAGATGTGCACCATGCATACACACAGCGGACAGCAACGTGATGACATACTGATGCACTTGGCATGTATATATATATATATATATATATATATATATATATATACTATATATGTGTGTGTGTGTGCATATTTATATATTCGTGTACTTACGCAGTATGCTTTCTTTTATGCAAGTTTTGTTAAAGGCAAGGGCAAATATACATTTTGTTAGTTTCGTGCGCGTTTCCTCGATCGCTCGAATTATATCCGTTGATGTTTTCGGTAAGTCATAAATCAGTTCGCCTATGGTCATTTATATTATTTTCAGCTAGCTAACGTTGCAAGGACATTTGTTCACCATTCTCAAAGCAATATAAGACAGTTGGACGGAAAACATTCGAATATGGTGAAATCCGACGAATATGGCAAGATGTCCTTGAAACTTCAGCGAGCTGAAACTGATATAGATGGCCATAGGCGAGCTTATATACATACATATATAAAAATAAATATGTGTATATATATATATATATATATATATATATATATATATATATATATATATAAGCTACGATTTAGATAACGAGGGAACAAATGGGAGCCCCTAACGGCATACCGTGATGAAGTCGACACAGTCTTTGCTGCAGTATTTGGCCAGCTTCTGTTCGAGGCTATCCCTCTTGTCGGTTTCAGGTATGCTCATGCCGCGGAAGAACCTGTTGGTCTTGAATATCTGCATGTGACGCGGCATAAGATCACCTGGAAACCAGAGTCAGTGGACATCCACCAGCGACCAGTGACCCCAGCTTGTCACCGCTGGTAGCCGGCGGCAAAATAAAAAAGTGTGACAAATACGGCCGAAGCCACCACCTTGGTTTACTCTTTGCTTCAATCAAGCGCACATTGTCATTTGTTTCAGAGCTAAGTTTGGAACCATCGGCTGGCTTTTCCCTCTTCATTATTCGAGTGCGATATGGCCGGTGCCTGACGTGCCATGAGTCTTCCAGATCAGGCATAGCCAGTCCCTGACTTTTTTAGAGTTCTCAGATCAGCCAAAGTCAGTTCATGACGTACTGAGAGTCATCCAAATCAGGCATAACCAGTCCCTGACGTTCTGAGAGTTCTCCAGACCGTGTAAAACCAGACCCTGACCTACCTGCAGTCATTCAGATCAGGCAGAGCCCGCCCGCCCCTGACGTAATGAGAGTCCTCAAGGTCAAGCAAAGTCAGTCCATGACGTACCGAGAGTCCTCCAGATCAGGAAGAGCCGGTCACTGGCGTACTGAGAGCCATCCAGATCAGGTAGATCCGGTCTCTGACCTACCTGCGTTCGTCCAGACCAGGCAGGGCCCGTCCCCGACGAAATGAGAGTCCTTCAGATCAGGCAGAGCCGGTCACTGACGTACTGAAAGTCCTCCAGATCAGGCAGAGCCGGTCACTGACGTACCGAGAGTCCTCCGGATCAGGTAGAGCTGGTCGAGGTCCGAGCGGCCCGGCCAGAGGGCGTGGCCTCGCACCAGCTCGGCCAGCACGCAGCCGATGGCCCAGACGTCGACGGGCGGTCCGTACTGCGTGTCGCCCACCAGCAACTCGGGCGCCCGGTACCAGCGCGTGGCCACGTAGTCCGTCAGGTTCTCCCCCTGACCGCCTGGTACCGGCGCGACTGGTCAGGCTCGCACGGTCGGAACATTGTGATATACGACTTCGCTAATCGATACCATTTAAGCTCCTCAGTAAAAGTTTCATTCACCGACAGGATGGAATGGTTTCGAGTCAGCTGTCCAGGTTGCCAGGTCCCAGGTCAACCCAGGTCAACGTCCACATGTGGCCCAGAGCTCCACATCACGCCGCCCACGCTCTGGGTCAGTGTGTTTGGATAACGGCTCGATATGCAGGAAAGAGGCGCACATGTGCATACTGACACTTCGTTCAGAGCCCTGCCCGTGCAGGTGGCGCGTCGCCTCCGTACTCATGCTCCGGGCGAATCCGAAGTCGCAGAGCTTGACGACGTCGTCGTGCGTGATGAGCAGGTTCTCGGGCTTGACGTCGCGGTGGATGCAGCTGCGTGAGTGGCAGAAGTTCACCGCCTGCACCACCTGCCAGGTGATCTTGCGCGCGCGCTCCTCGCCCATTCTGCCGGGGAGCAGGCGCGGCGCCGGACCACTCAGTGCACATTTGTGGAGTGCTCTCATCGGCACCGCAGGCAGGGACGCACGGGTCAACACGGCATGTGCCCAGTTTTGGTGTTGCGCCTATCACGACACGCTACAGAACTTTACGTTTGGTTCTAGTAGGCACAGGCAATGTTTTAGCAAGACGGTTGCTGCTATGCCACCGCCCACACATGCTGTCTTAGCCTACCGCCAATATTCGTATCAGCACTACAGCCAGAGACTAGTCGCTGACGCGAACCCGGGCCAGCGGCCCGGCGCCAGGGACAGGCGGATGCACTGACCCCCTGTTACACTTCTCCAGCTCGTCGAGGACGGTGCTGTCGCAGAACTCGAACACCAGGTGCAGTCGTTTGCGGCGGCGGAACACCTCCAGCAGGTTGACCAGGTTCGGGTGCTTCAGTTGCTGCGGTCACGCGTTGCGCGTCAGGCCGATGCACAGAGGCGCACGGAGCATTGACTCACGCACAGGTCATCAGCCGTTGGGTATACTTTGAGTCTGTGCGGCTGTTTAGCTACGTTCACTTCAGCCCCCCCCCCCCCTTAAAAAAATGTCTACAGGTACATAAATCTACCAGTCCAGGTCGGAGGGCCAATGTTCTGTGGTTTTCAGCACAGCATCACTGCGCGTCCTGCCCACCCCTGCAGGGATGCCAGGCGTCTGCGGACGCTGATGAGCTGACCTGTGGCTGCCCCCGCCGCGAGCCTGCCCTGATCGGGGCTGCACAGTCGTGACGCTGCGCCGCCACTCACCTTGAGCATGCGGACCTCTCTGACGGCGATCTTGCGAATGACGGGGTCGTCCTCAGCCTCGAGGAACTTCTTGATAGCCACCACCTGGCCCGTCTCGCGGTTACGGCACTTGTACACGGTGCCGTACGAGCCCTCGCCGAGCTTACCTAGCTTCTCGTACTTCTCCAGACCGCGGGCCTCCGATGCTGACTGCGTGTGGGAGCCGCTGCCAGCGCCTGTCGATGCCGGCACCGGCAGAGCCAGCTGCCGCCGTCACGCCAACGCACCAGAACGTGTCGCTTTTCATGAGACGTGCGTCGATCGCTTTAAGCTGGCTGCTTTATTTGGAGTTATTTGCTGATTAATGTGTACAGTGATCACAGATGTAGTGGACGTAACGTAAAACTTACTATCAGTGACCATCGCCGGTGCTAAACTACGAGCTGCGGGCAATAATAGGGGGTGAGCGATGGGGAGGGGAGGGGCGGTCGCTGTTGATCCCGCGTCTGTACGGCAGTGACCTGTGCGGGTGAGCTGGTCAGCTCATTTTCAGACGGGAACAGTTTCATCTCCCGTGGTCGTTTGCACATCCACTCATAGCTATCGTTCTCGAACTTGGCGACTTTTGCAAGCATGAATTTGACATAATGTTGGAATATGAACGCTTACATCAGGACCTTTTTAATGAATTTTAGAGCGTGTTGGGAAAATCCCAATGATATGCACTATCTCTAACACGACTTCACCATTAGCCTGCCTCCGAAATCAGATTTCTTCATGACTCTAGGTTACTTTATTCTTGCGTTCATATAAAAGAAATAAATATATGCAGCCATATTGGCTACCGTATAGCATTGGACTCAGGGGCGGATCCAGGATTTCGTCAGGGGGGGGGGGGCGGGGGGCACGCAACATTGTGGGGCCACCTGGAGTTTGGGGCTCCCCTCCAAAAAATATCCTTACATGTCGGCCATAACATTTTTAGATGAGTCGTATGTAACGTATATATATATATATATATATATATATATATCTACCTATCCATCTATCTATATCTATATGTAGGTATATATGCAGGTATGTATTTACTTGTTCATTTATTTCATAAATACGGAAACCCATCTTACCGTGCACGGCCCCATAAAGCTAGGCGTGCTACGCATGCATACACATAAAACTCAATCACTCTCTGCAGATCTTGTTAAATGCTATGATTTTGAGGCTAAGTGTTTCAGAACAACAGGCAAAATAAACATGAGTTAGCTGCTAAAGATCAAAACCAAGCATGAACTTGATTCCTAGCTTATGTTTTTACGGCTAGCTGGCTGGGCGATGTAATCAGTTGATGGCTGATGACTACCGCATAGTTTTTCCTCCGTTATAAAGGAGTACAGCATATCCTAGCATTCGAAATGTGCTAAGAATATGATGCACTAGTAAAATAAGTGTCCCACACTCAATAGCTAACGAAAATGACACATAGGACCTCGGCGGCATATAAAATTACGTTCGGCAATTGCGCGTAAAAACTCATCGGCGCATATTCGACCGCTGCTCTCAGGCGAAGGCAGCAAGGCCAATAGGGACGAAACCTAAGTAATCGTGGGTGCCGCAGGAGGCCAACAAGGTGGCTGCCGTCAACAAGTATAGGGTCCGCAGAGCAAGCAAAAAGAACCCAAGACCAACGTGGCGGGCCCATGAACGACCGGTAGTGCCTCGGCAGGCTGTCATATAAAGCCCCGGCCAGAGTACAGAACCCTTCGAGCGGAGGGGAATTATCCGAGAGCATGAATTAATACCCCTGGGCGATCAAGAGTGCGCGGGTGGGTTAACAACACGAGCCTCGATAGGAATGAAGAGTCCCCCCACAAATCAGACCAAAGGGAGAGAGCCCTTGATCAAAGTAGATGGCCCCTGAGCATTGAGTGTCTCCGTGCCTTACCTTATAAAAACCCTAGCAACAGCGCAAGGTCCTCCAAGCAACAAGGAAGAGCCGGAGACTTCAATGAAGGGTCCCTGACCAACTGAGTGTTCTCTGGCATATGGAGCCTGGAAAAAGCGTAAAGAGCCTTTCGGGCGAATGGGGAGAATCTGCGGAGGAAAACCTGATCGATCAACCGTGCTCAGGCATGGAGGCAGATAGCGTCCCAACAGCACATTGGGCCCTACGACAAATGCAAAGAGATCAAGGGCAACGTGGAAAGCTCCTTAGCGATCAGACTGACCCGGCAAGTGGACAGATGGGGCCAGGAAACCAACAGCGCGATGGCTCTAGACAGCGCAATAAGCTCCAAAATATCCCCAAGCAACACTTTCTCAATCAGCAAAAAATGAACTTGGTCCGCCCATGAACTGTTTACTTTTGCTAACGATTGTCCTTGGTCGTCTCGTGTAGGCCCAAAGTATTCCAATTTTGTTGTAAGAAAACTGGGTCCGTCCGGCCCCTTATGGCCCCTTCGGAGCCTTTAGGTTCCCTCGGCATGGTCCGTGAGGCACGGTGTCGTGCTTCCCCCCCCCCCCCCCCCCCCCCCCCCTGTACATCCGCTACCGGCCCGAGCAGCTTAATAGATGAAGCCCGTCAAGAACATAGGCTCATCCATTCAAAAAAGAAATACTCATGACACAATGTGTAGGGCTCTGAACGATCGAGCGCGCCCGAGCAGATAAACATATAGGGCCCCCATCAAGAGCGCAGGGCCCTCCATTCAAATAGAAAGTACCCAAGACCCAATGTGGAGGGACCCCGAATGATCGAGTGTGCCAGAGCAGGTTAACAGATAAGGCTCCCAAAAAGAGCGTAGAACCCTCCGTTCAAATAGGAAGTATTCAGGACCCAACGCAGAGGGCTCCCGAGTGATCCAGTGCCTCAAAGCATGTTGACATATAGGGCCCCCTTCAAGAGCGTAGCGCCCTCCACTCAAATAGGAAGTACCCAGAACCCACTGAAGAGCGCCCCAGAGTGGTCGAGTGTGCCCGAGCAGATTAACAAATAAGGCTCCCAACAGGAGCGTAGGGCCCTCCATTCGAATGGAAAGCACCGAAGACCTTATGTGAGTGGACCCAGAATGATAAAACGTGCCCGAGCAGTTTATCAGAACCCAGGAGAACCCAGGGCCCTCCTTATCTGAGTAATACCTTATCTGAGGAGAACCCAGGGCCCTCCATTCAAATAATAAGCACCCAAAACCCGGTGCGGAGGGCCCCCCGAAAGATGGGGTATATCCGAGCAGATTATCAGGTGGCCCAGACAGGAGTGTAGGGCCCTACATTCAAACACCAAGACCCAATGTGCAGGGCCCCCAGACAATTCAGTGTGGCCGAAACGGCGAACAGGTGGGGTCACCGACAAGTACGTAGGGCCCTCCATTCGGATAGGAAGTGCTCAGGACACTATGCGGAGGGCCCCCGGATATTCGAGTGTGCCCGAGCGGGTTAACAGATGGGGCCCCGGCAAGAGCATACGGCCTTACGTTCAAATATGAAATGCCCACGACACGATGTAGAGGGCTCCGGATAATCGAGTGCGCCAGAGCAGGTTAACAGACAAGGGCCCCCGAAAAACGCGAAGGGTCCTCCATTAAAAAAGGAAGTACCCAAAACCACATGTAGAGGTCCCCACAATTGAATGGGTCCGAACATCTTATCAGAAGGGGTCCCGCCAGGAGCGTAAGGCCCTCTATTCAAATAAGAAGTACCCGAATACCCGGTGCGGACGGCCCCAGAACGATGGAGTGTACCCGAGCAGGTTATCAGATGACCCCGATAGGAGCAGAGGGCCCTAAATTCAAACACCAAGAACCAATGTGCGGGGCCCCCGAGCAATCCAGTGTGGCCGGGGAGGCGAACAGACGGGGCCCCCGACAAGTGCGTAGGGCCCCACTCAAATAGCGAGTGCCCAAGACCCAATGCAGAGGGCCCCCGAACGATTGAATGTACCCGCGCAGGTTATCAGATAGCCTCCCCCACCCCAAAAGCGTGGGGCCCCTCATTAAGAAAAGAAGTACCCAAGACCCAGTGCGAAGGGTCCCCGAACAACTGGTGTGCCCAAGCAGGCCATCAGAGGGGCCTCTGACAAGAGTGCAGGACCCTAAGCAAGTGGCAGAGAATTTGAAGCGCCTTAGACCAATGAAGGGGTCCATGAGCATATCACAAGTCTGTCGGTAGGTTAACTGAGACCCACGTATAGGGCCCCTGAACAACCGAGAATACCCCGGCAGGTTAAGATATGGGAGCCCGGCTATAGCCCACAGAGGCCTTTCTGGCGAATGGAAAGAACACGTGGAAGGGACCGTGATTGACAAGAGTGTCCCGGCACGCTTACAGGGAGGGCCCCAAAAGCAGTGCTGGGCGCCCCGAGCAGATGCAAAGAAATAAAGGGCAACGTGGAATGCTCCTTAACTATCGAAATGATCCTGCAAGTGGGCATATAGGTCTCCCAGAAGCAGCATGGGCCCCTAGGCAGTGAAATGGGGCTTAAAGTTTCCAGTTCACAATTTTTCCAATCATTGATTTTTTGTTGACTTCTCATAGGCCCTTCACTTTCGCTTACAGCTGTTCTTGGTCGTCTGGAAGTCCAGATATCCAGTTTTTTTTCGTTTTGTGTTTAAAAAAACTGCGCCTGTTCGGCCGGCGATGGGCCCCGTCGGAGCCAATGGGCCCCTTCGGGGCCCAAGGGGGGTGGGCATGGCCCTGTAGCCCACCCTCTGGATCCGCTCCTGACTGGGCTAGAACAGTTGTGAGTTGGTGGAAATGTCTGGTGGGTGGAGGAAATGTGGGAGCATTCCCTCCACTCAGCCTGTTAAAAGAGCGCCGCCCTACATCATCCAAAGGCGAACTTCAGGAGCGGTTTTGGAGGGCGAGGGGACTGTCATACCGCATGACGGACTGTTTAAGGAGAATATGCCGTCCACATCGTGGAAGGCTAGGGTGAGTCACAATGCCTTCTAGCACCTAGTGAGATGCGGATAGCAAACATGAGACTTTTTGTCAGCTCACAAGGAGGGACGCAGTTCAAACCACATTCGAACTTGCGTACTCCGCGGTTCGACATGTAGGACCCCAGAAACAGTGCTGGGTCCTTCGAGCGATTGGGAAGAACCATTATCAAAACGACCGATTGTCTGAACGACCGATTGTCTGGTCAACTCAACAGATAGGTTTTACCAGAGCATAGGCCCTCCGCAAATCTGGGCAAATGAGGTGAAGCCATTGCTAAAGTGGAATCCCAGAGAAAATCGTGAATCTCCCGGTATGCTATTTATAGGGCCCCTGGCAGCAGCGTAAGGTCCTCCAAGTAAATTAGGAGAGCCAATACCGATGTGAAGGGGCTCTGGGCGACTGAGGGCACCCCGGCAGACTAACATATAGACCCCCAGGCAACAGAGCAAAGCCTTTTGAGCAAATGAGTCCAAGCCGTGGTGGCCTAAGAGCGATCCAATGCCCACCAGTTCAACGACTGCTTAGGTCCAACAACAGCCTGGTGGTCTTCAAGCAAATGCGAAGAACCAAGAGCCACGCGGGAGGTCCTTTAGCGCTCGCGAGTGCCCTGTCAAGTCAACACATAGGTCCCCTAGCCAGTTAAGGGCCCCTAGTCAGCGTACTGGCCCCTAAAACATCTCCAACCACTACCGTCACATGGCAAGACAATAGCTGTTTTCGTGTTTGCGTCATGCACATCAGACAAGAGCCCCTTCATGTCCCTGTGGACCCTCTCATCTTCACTTATGGTCGGGCTTGGTTGGCCGTATATTGTCATTCACTCATGACAACATAAAAACTCGTCTTCAAGTTTGTGGCCCCTTCGGGTCTCAAGCGGGACCGTATAGCTCCCCTGTCAACACCCCCCCCCCCCCCCCCCCTCCTCTGGATCTACAACAGGCTGACGGCCATAAGTGAGTGTTGCCAGTACAGGAGTAGAATCCCTCTAATATAACTAGTACATCGAAGTCTTAATGCTTTTCATTTCTAGAAAACGCGCTGAATTAATATATCGGCGCGCAGCTGTGTGAAAAAGCTGGGCAATTGAACGATTCACGGTACAAAAATATGATGGAAAAGTTTCACCTTGGACTCTAAATTCTCGCTTCGTCTGCATCACAAGGGCTTGCAGTTGTTGTCCCAGGATTATACTTGTTGCGAAAAATGATGGCTAGAGGTCATTTCGAGCATTATGTTCCTGCACACTGCAAGATGAGGCATTAACAAGGGCAGTTCGCACGTGTGTAATCCCTCGGCAATAAACGCAAAAGCTAGCACCAACCAAGATGTGTTGGAATTACAGGAGTCTAATTGCTCGTCTAGAAGGAATGTTTTCGTTTGAGATTGGAGCAAAAACGTGCACTTCTCTATGAACGACTTTTATCACGGAGAGTGTCAGGCCGATGCGGTAAGGCGCAGGGATGGCTCCATGTTCATACCATCGAAAATAAGATTCGAGTCGCTCGAGCAGTGCTGCCAGCAGTATAAGCGGGCGCGCAGCCAAACAATTTCTTATATTTTTTTTCGCGCTGTCACCCCGATCCAGAGTCCAACACGTCTAAGTATGGCATCTGAAAAGGAGATCCCAGGAACCTCGGCGGGACCCATCCCTTCGGTTGCGCCCTTCGAGGGTGGAGGCAACATTGCCGGGTCTCGGGGATCATTTGGCACTGTGGTGGTCCAATGAACGGTGCACAACCAGCAAGAAAAACACCTTCATTTTGTTGTTTCAGACAGGCGAGGACCGTCCCAGTACGCGCGGATGGCAAAACCAATTCTTGGAGTATATCTTCTTTATGTTTCGCCATAGGACTACTGCTCGGCATTCTCGGAAAGTGGACTGCGATGACACCCACGGATCGCCATTCTCGACCCCACGCCTGACTTAAAGCTCTTGCCGTCATGACGTAGCTAATTAATGCACACACCAACACCGGGCATGTGGTTAGTGCTGACAATGGCAATAGAAGCATATTACTTGTAATTAACGACATGCTCCAGTTCGGTGTAACAGTCGCGTCGCCCCGCCTGGCCCAGTCACCGACCTTCACACCGCGCTGACTGAACGCCCGTATTGCCAGGCCCACTGCGTACGCTGGCACGCTGCTGCACGGCGCCCGGGGCCAGATGGTGTGCATTTACGACACGAGTGAAGCATGCTAAAGTAAGATGAGAAATTCAACAAAAGTGGTTATTTTATTGGGAGTTATGACCAGCTTCTACTCCACAAGTATGCACATCCATATACATGGACTAAGCATTGCATCACACCTTCTACCATGACACAGCGAACTGCAGTTTGCACCCACTGACGCCAGACTGTTGTCCTTTAAATCGTGACACTCTGGGTTACCCTAAACGCCGAGAACGTATGTCCCGAGACTTCTTGAACACACCTGCTCCACCACGTATCGACACCTGCCCCCGCTGAAGCCGGCCACATGGTGTACCAGGTCGGTGTAAGCTCGACGCTTGTCCCCGCCGCGGACATGACGCAGGAGTCAGGACGACGTGCCCACTCCGGGACGGCCCGCACCGGGAGCACCGACACCGACGACGGGACCGGTCCAGACACTCAAGGCAGGTCCGCCTGGCCCGGCCGGCAACATGCACACCGCGCCTGACTAAAAGGCCGCTTAGCCAGGCCTACAGCACGTCCAACCCGACTCGGTCGCACCTGGACTCAGGGCCTGGACTCTAGACCCAAGCACAGGCTCTGGACTAAGGGTGCGCACTCTGGACTAGGGGCATGGACTCTGAGCTCCGTGTCCGGCTCAGAACCGCCGCACGTCTGGGAAGCAGCTGGCATCGTGGCATTCTCCGCCAGCCCTGCCGGTCGGGCACGCTCACTGAGCCATTACATGCATGCGCTTACAATGCGCACGCAGGTAACACACAACAATGCGATCCGATCATTACGCACAAGGCCTCCGCTGACCGTCATAGCAAGCTGCAGAGTGAAACAGGAACAGCCCAACCCGGCAGAGGCGCTGCTAAACACAGCCAGTATTAGCAAAGATGACAGAGGAACTCCTGGTCCATTGCTTAATCACCCCGGTCGCGGGCACGGTCCGTAACGTCAGTTGATGACCAAGCAGTGACATCAGCTGATGGCCAGGCAGTGACATCAGTTGATGATTCAATGGTGACGTCAGCTGATGACTCAGCAGTGACGTCAGCTGATGACCGGGTATTGACGTTAACTGGTGGCAGGGTAGTTACATCAGCTGATGGCCGGGAAGTGACGTCGGCCGATGGTTGGGCAGTGACGTCAGCTGATAACCGGGCAGTGGCGTCAGCTGCGTCAGAGGCCAGCATGACGCGGTCCGGTCACTTCCGTTCCACCAGGGACCTCATCAGCGACACTGAACCGCCGCGGTAGCTGGACCCGAAGTGATTCCTGAAAAAGTTGAAACAATTTTTAGGCCATTGTCCTCATCAATCATGTTATTGTTCTCATAACGCTTCAGCGAATTAGTCCAGCTGTCATAAGGTGTTGGTAAGTCTTGAGAACAACCTGAGAGTGTTTGACGCTCAGCCATGTGCCACAGCCCCAAAGTACTACAGCAGCCGTCAGCGGTCTCAAGACTCAGACCAAGACTCAAAACACTGCACCACCCAGCAGGATACCTGATCGCTATCGAGGATGACGAGTATTTCGTTGACCTGGTTCCCGCAAAGTCACAAATTGCCAACCACATTTATTTACTTATTTATGCGTGCGTGCGTGGTGCGTGTGCGTGCGTGCGTGCGTGTGTGCGTGCGTGCGTGCGAGCTCGTGCGTACGTGCGTGAGCGCGTGCATGCGTGCGTGCGTGCGTCTGTGCGTGAACGAATGATGTAAGACATCCTGATATTTTCCGACCGAAGTTCTGAACGACGTGAAATTGGGTCCTAAAGTGGCGAATTGTGCTCCAGAAGCGTTCCGAAATCCCATACCATGATGCCCACCGTGGCGTCGCCCGGGAATAATTCACGAATGCCTGCAGGGCGTGTGTATGCCCTTTCGTGTTAGACTGGAGCTTTTCATGTACATGCGGTTCTACTGCAGTGACGCCCTCCGGTGATACAGCGGCAAACATACGAACAAAACAAAGCTGAAATGAGCGAATCAAGGGAGCAGCAGGCGGTAAGTGCCGTCTACCGATAAATCGGAAGCTGTTTATAACATTACATAAAAGACGGCTTGTTTGAGGAATGCACACGTCCTTGCCAGCTGACAGACATATGTCGCAATTACAGTATGCTTCCTTTTTCAAGCATCGCATCCGTTCATTGTTGTTTACTGCATCATTGTGCGCAGTTTACTGTATTTCTGTTTGTATCATTCAATTCATGCATTATCCAAGTCGGGTGGACAAGTAGTTGCCAATGAACATAAACATGAGCTGATTCGTCACATGGACAGAGGACAATCAACTTTCTGAACGGTCATGTGGCTCACCAGTGGTTTAGGTGGTGGAAGAGCTGGTACAGCTTGTTCCTGGTCTCGAAGCCAGCCTTTCTTGGCAGCAGCTCGTGGTAGGCTCTGTAGAAGTCGGCTCCAAATCCCCCGAACCACTTCGCGATTCCGAGATCGAACTCGGCGTGTCCATAGAAGGAGGCGGGATCGTACACCACTGTCGGGGTACGCGTCACTGAACGCGGCGCTAGGCAGCGCTGCAGGAACGCTGCATCGCGCACCATAGACTGCACACGCCCCTGTTCGAGGACGGAGACACGCGCCAGGCACCGCATCGCGAACTGCGTGGAATTTGGTCGGCAGCTCTACACTGGAGACTGGTGACACCAGTGACAGTGACAGAGGGCAGAAGCAACAAAATGTCACCTGAGGCCCAAACTAATCAGCACTTCCGCTGCACAACGATAAGTCAAGCCCCAGCAAGCTTTTGTACCCACTCCCTCATATTCCAGCCAAAATCAGTTCTTCACAAAAACCAACTCAATAGACACAGCAGAGAACTATTGCCACTTTACGGCTTTCACTACTTTACGGCTTTCGTTTTCATTAAAAGACGGCGTCGTCACATTGCCTACAATTAGTGCTGCCACATGTCATGGGAGACAAATGCAAATGGTGTACTGATCTCTCGAAGAACCCATTAAATGCAAAAATAGGTACTCATTGGAAGAAAAAGAAACCAATCCCTGGGGGAAGTTGTCATGTTTAAGCTAGTCCCCTTCAACAAACCAAATCTATTTTCTGAAACAAAATACATACGAACACGAGCTCAACTAAAACAAGGCACGTCCATGCATGGGTGATTTGGGCGTGCCACTCATCTGACCGCCGCCACGGACGTCACCCGAACCTATGTTTGGGCGCCGCCATCCCAACGGGAGCAGAGTAGCGGCGCTAACAACGGAAACAACACAACATTTACGGCAAATGATGTAAACAATAGGTAAGTAAGATCTTTCGTAATTATTCACACAGTTGCCACCTTGTCAATGCAGTCATCGTCCAAGGAGTCTACTGTGGTCCCAGTTCGACCTTCCCATTCCAGTTTGCCTTGGCAGCCGGCATTGCCTTTAGCACTGGCTTATTCTGCTGGGTCATCACACGTCCCCTCGGCGGGCTTCAGCTCTGTTTACCTGGCTCCTGGTCCACCTCAGCCGCGTTTCCAGACCACAGGTCACCATGCAGCAGCGCCGGCTCCACACTGATGTTTCGGAAGAACTCCGGTAGGCGGCGCAGCAGTCGCGACCACAACTCCATAACCTCCCGATCGCCGTAATCCCGCTCAATCATCTCGATCTAAACACATTGCACAATCAATAGACACGGCACGAGGTTGTTCAGAGCAGCTGCATGGAATATCAAACTTATATAACAGCACTCCCTCGGCCTTATAGGTTGGTACTTGAGGTGACAAAATTACGAAGTGTTTGCAATTCAGTGATAGGATTTTGTCGAAACAATTTGTACCATCTTTGTATCGTGCTGTCTCGACAAGATATTGAGTCGCCTCTCCTCAACGACCAACGATGAATGCTGCCAATAAGTGATCTTAATAGAGAAAAGCAGAATCCAACGCAATTCACGTTTAACAGTACGTCCATTTTGATGAAACAGCCTTCTAAAACGTGGTGCGCACCCGTCGTTTCGCATTATCTGCCCGCTGACGTCAGCTGTCGGCGGGTGCGTCTCGCCAGCCACCAGACGCGGCGGATTTAGGCGGCGTGCTCATAGCTGCGTTCAGCCGCGCTTCGGACCTGCGGCTGCAGCTTGACCCGCGTCAGGAACTCCAGCCAGTCGTCGTGCCACGTGTTGGCCTGCGGGATGCGACCGCAGCACGTAGGAACGTGGAAGCCGAACTGCTGAACCGCCGAGTCCATCTGGGAGAGACGCAGCCCCCGTCTGCTTCCGTTCACAAACGGCGAAGTTTGGGTAACAGGGGCTGGACGCATGATTTTCACGGAGTGACTGAATTATAGAAAGACTTATACTACACAATTTAACTGCGATAATGGGTCAGCTTCTTGTGAACAAGACGCTGACAATCGCAACCTAGTCATTCCAGCTTCTCATCGTTATCACGCGTTTTGTTAAGATGTCATGCCATATGTGGTTTTCCGACCGAGCATAAAGTTCTTAACAAAACAATCAAGCTCAACCTGGGCACCGTCATAACCCATGGTTGGATAGGACCTTATTTAAGCCTTTATTTTCTTGCTTATTTTTAAGCATGGCACTTTAACTATCACTCTGACACGACACTGGTTACTGGACATGTTTTCAGGCCCATGCACACTGGTTACCATTCGTAGGTCCGTCTATGTACCTGCTTTTCGGGCGCACCTACGTGTGAGGCTTCTGCGCTTTGCGCATCCTTTGCAGTACTGTTATGTAGATGAAGCCTGAAAACAATATTGGACAATGTTGACTTGGGTGATGAGATAATCAACAATCTCTGCACAAATGGGATGGTGCAGTACAGGTGTCACACTGGTAAGGAACAATCGCGGGTTCTGGTTAAATCAAGATGGTCACTTCCATGCGACAGTCCCAAAGGAGCCTACACATCCCTACAGTCAGCAGCCAGGACATGTTAGGTAACTAGCAGTTGGCACTAGCAATTGGGCAACACATGCATCCATGTTTCCGACATTAGCCGAGCGGCAAAGCTTTGCTTTAAGACTGGATTCAGCCCTATTGACCATAAGTGATCACAGCGATGATCAGGATGCCTGCGTCCATTCCCTGACACATGAGCTCAGAGGCATGTTCACAGCGCTGTAATGTAAGGGGTCACAACTCAAAAACTCGCCGAACATCATTCTCTAACGCGACGGAAACCCGAGAAATTTCTTCCATGACGCACGCACGTTGTCAATCCACCTATTTCAAATGTCTGACGAAATTAGATTAGTGCACACATTTATTTACAGCGATATTAACCCTTGCACTGGTGGGCTGTTTTTTTATTATAGCGCACTGATGGTGGGGTTGGTGCGGGCCCCCTACCGTTTCCAAAGTGGAATGAATTGATATTACCAAAAAACATTAGTGTGTTGGTCTCAACTAGATTTCGCGACTGATGATAAGCATTGTGTCTGGGTCAATAACTGATCCCATTACATTGAGTCAAAAGTCAAATTTTCCCCAAAACAGCCTTTTCCGGATTGACACGTTTAATATGTAGCAGACCATGCCTTGTGAGGGCACCAAACCTTACCAGGCATTTGCCTTAAATCTGAGTGCATCGCTGCATGCTTCTCTATATTTTGACCGCATATTTCTATGTATGGCTCCGCCAATGTAGCAAGGCTGTCCGATGCGCTCATCCCGCGACATCGTTGGTTGCCACCCGCCGCCCACACGGGCCGCGGATCGCGCCGGCGCGTGAATCGCCACTGCTCCGAAACCAAACAAGCCAGGGACGCGTCCTGAGCTTCAAAACAGGCGCAATGGATGCCCATAAGCTAATAAACATTTGGGCGCGATTGCGCGACATGCCGAACAGAAATTCAGAAAACCATATGTGGGGAGTGCTCGCATCGACCCCCTGCTGCTAGGGTGGAGATCAATGCTGCAAAAAAACAAGAGGGAATGTGGTTCAGCTGTCCCCCTCCCCCCCCCCCCCCCCCCCCATTGCATGACACATCCCTACGTGAACCAACCAGTCTGTACGCACCTGGCGAGCTGGCGCCCCAGCTGAGCCGACCGGGCCCTTAGCGAGCGCATTTGCAGGAACTCCATGACGAGCACGGCCCGGCCCGTGTCCGGGTGCTGAGCTACGGTCAGAGGCCGTGGACACCGCACAGTGCTAGTGGCAATGATAGCCTGCAGCCCGGCAAGCTCCCCAGCAAACATCTCCTGTCCCTGCCGCCGCACACACAGACAGGTCAGATGTCTGCCAATGCTCACACAGACAGCTCAGATGTCTGCCACCACACGCACAGACAGCTCAGATGTCTGCCGCCGCACACACAGATTACTCAGATGTCTGCCGCCGCACATACAGACAGGTCAGATGTCTGCCACTGCACACACAGACAGGTCAGACGTCTGCCCCTGCACACACAGACAGCTCAGACATCTGCTGCTGCACACAAACAGATCAGATGCCTGCTGCCGCACACACAGACGGGTCAGATGTCTGCCACTGCACACACAGACAGCTCAGATGTCTGCTGCTGCACACAGACAGCTCAGATGTCTGCCCCTGCACACACGGACAGCTCAGATGTCTGCCACCGCACACACAGGCAGGTCAGATGTCTGCCACTGCACACACAGACAGGTCAGATGCCTGCTGCTGCACACAGACAGGTCAGATGTCTGCCCCTGCACACACAGACAGCTCAGATGTCCGCCCCTGCACACACGGACAGCTCAGATGTCTGCTCCTGCACACACAGACAGGTCAGATGTCTGCCACTGCACACACAGGCAGGTCAGATGTCTGCCACTGCACACACAGACAGGTCAGATGTCTGCCACTGCACACACATGTCAGATGTCTGCTGCTGCACGCACATGTCAGATGTCTGCTGCTGCACATGCAGACAGCTCAATGTCTGCCACCAAATGCACAGACAGGTCAGATGTCTGCTGCCACATGCCCAGACATGTCAGATGTCTGCTGCTGTGCTGCACACACCCACAGCTCAGATGTCTGCCACCACACACACAGGCAGGTCAGACGTCTGCCACCACATCATACACACAGATAGGTCAGATGTCTGTCACTGCACACACTGACAGGTCAGATGTCTGCAACTGTACACACTGACAGGTCAGATGTCTGCAACCTCATATGCTGATAGGTCAGGTGACTGCCACTGCATACACTGGTTGCAGCAAAACAAGGCTCCATGGTTCAAATACATGCTTGCGGTAAAACAATACATACTAATCAGATGCCACTGGTCTGGACCAACCACTCAGGTGCCTAGCACTATATAAACAAATCAGACAAGCACCTGCTGGACACACTGGTCACATGTTTGCTTGCTGGACCAATCAAATGGCTACAATCCAACCATTCAGAGTACGAGGATATTCATACCACTTCCAAAAAGCTCAGTCTGTGGCTTACTGGAATTAAGTGTGGTTGGCAACATACAACAATGCTTATACAAAGAATACATCACCATTGGTGGAGAACAATGAAATACTAGAACATGTGGTTGTCGGTCACATCACAGAATGCATACATCAGCCAAACAACCAACTCACATCACTGTGATCTTGAGAGGACTTCACAAATATCTCCCCCTGATCAGTGCTGTATCCTTGCCCTTCATTGATGCAACCACTTCCATGTGCACCATGCATTGGAAGCATGTATGCAAAACCCAGCTGACCTTTGATGAAGTCCATTTCCATCCTGCATAGCAAAAGACAAAACCTGGTTCTGAATGCTTTCACCTCAGTAGCTATTTCACTCGGCATCTGAAAACAGTCTGGAAACTGTCGACCAAAACAGACATTCTTGATTGAATCCCCACTTATATGACTTGTCCCATGTTAAGCATACCCACATAGGCCTCACACTTCCTAACCTGCCACTTAGCTGAATCTGGAAAGAAACCTATACAATGCTACGGTCCACAGACCACAGATGAACAAGAGATTTGTGAACCTTGTAGCACTATCAAACCGTATGCTCTATGTATCTGTATGATGAAATAAAGAGCACTTGACCTGGATGCCAGACTCCTCACGCCCCCCCCCCCCCCCTTCACATCCTGACATCCTTACGCAGGGCAATACAACACCTCCTTAGGCACGGGTGGTCCAAAGTCTAGTATAAAATATGGCAGCAATGGTGCACATTTCACGACCAGCCATAGGGTTTCCATGTTAAAATGACCTTCTTCAGGCCCATGGCTTTCTAAATTTTGAAGATATATATGCATAAAAAGTGCTCAGAAATGAAGCTTGAACAATTCTCTTTCGATTTCCGAGATTAAAAGTGTGCGCCGTGGCGCTCATTTTCGAGCTATCAGGCAAAGCGCAGACCCATGCACGCGCCACGATGTCCAGGTGTGGGATCGAACCCCGCTGCCGCCAACTCTTTTCAGCAGAGTTGAGATAGAACATGGAGTAAATACGGCCACTGACTGGCGATAGAACTATTGAGTGCAACAATATTCTGACCATATATATATAGTATGCATATATATGCATTACATATAGCCTGAACATGCATCTGCTGTGCTGTGAAATGTGCTGCGAGCTATTACAAGAAATATACATGGGATCTTTTTATGTCTATCAAACATACCTGACAGGTGTTATGCAGCTGTCGGGCTACATGCAACAGCCTATGGCTGGGGCGCATAGCATTATTGTGCCTGAGGCATGGAACCTATCGCGACGGTAGCGGTCCAAAGCTAGCCGTCCAACGCGCCCGGAGGTAGGACCAGGCACTGTGTTAGGTTCTTAAGTTGTGACGCTGGTGGCCACTGCTGTGCAGGGCCGGCAATGCCGCCTCAGGACCAGCGCAGCAACAATAGCATAGTTACATTGCAAGCACCAGTGATTGGGAAGCAGTTGTGCTTAGAAGCAGGATGATAAGCAATATAATAAGTTCCATAATGGTGAGCTGTACTGCACAAAGGCCCTGATCTGACAAAATTTATAAAACTTCTTTGATTGATCTTGAAGGGCTTAAACACCTGACAGACCTGTGGCCTAAGTAACCATGCTCCCTAAAACCATTTGCATGAAGGTTTTTGGCATAAGGTGAATACAAACATTTTATCACTGGCTCCACTGAATAAATGAACCTGAAAAATCTTGCTTTCACATCACAAAACCTGCAAAATAAATATTTGAAACTTTGATATGACATAACTTTTTTATATTCCTCATCAAGCCTTGTAATTTAGAACTTTAATTTTCACCCATTGATCTCAGAGTAGGAAAGGTACACCTAAGCAGCTGAAGTGAGATGGGCAGCTTAGACAGATTTAGAAGGTGCATCAGTATCTGAAACATATGCCACATTTGCTCAAGGCAATAAACACTATCAATGGACCTTAGATTGCCCCAAACCATACCCCAGTTATGCACATTTTCATCTACATGTAGCATGTTATATTGATATAATAAAAAATGTACCACCTTGTACTCAACATTTGCTCACATTGTTACAAGGAAATTATGTTGATATAAATTATGCAATGATGTTGTGTAACAGATACAGTGTTGCGGAAAGGGTTACAACTAGCATTCAGAATATTGTACTATTTGACACAAAACATCAGTTTTATAAATGTCACAAATCTGAAAACTTCCCTTGCATACACAGACATCCTGTAATGTTGAAATTAACTTGATAGCCCTGTATCCTATGCGAACTAATCATTTCTGCATAAGACTTAGCATACATCATAAAGATTATTTATCTTGCTGACTAACTGTACATTTCCAGTAAAACACAAACCATTGCACCCATTAAATACATTAACTACAACATTTTCTGCTTACATTGGATACATTTACCAAGCACAGGTTATCATTTAATGCCACGTTTATGCTGCATGCAGTTGCATGAAGCCATTGCACTTTGTGATGGTGGCCTCTCCTAACAATGTTGAAATGCACTAGCAAATGTTGGCCTGCCCTTCTCATATTGTTGCTAGAATATTACAAAACAAACTAATGCAAGTGATTCACATCATGATGACTTGCTTTGAGCATTATTTGACAACATTGGCTGGACTTTTGAAGGAAAGACACAAAGCTACAACTTTAAATAGCCTTCAATCAAAATGACATGCCCAGACACAATGAAAAACACACATTAGGTGGAGGTGAGGTAGGGATGCCCTCAGCACAGCCCACCAATGTGCCACACACATTGATTCTTCTGATCTGGAAAAAAACATAACTTATAACTTCACTTAACTTGAATTATGCCAGAAAATTTGGCCCATTTCTGACATCAGATGACCTTTTCTAAACAGTGCATGCAGATAACACCTTTGGTGAAATGTCGTCAGGTACATGCACATTATCGCATCATACCAAGCATTTCCATTACATTATAGTGCCTTTCATGTCTCAATAAACACATTTAATGCAATGACACAGCTGTGCTGAACTGACATAATTACTGGTTGGCCCCTTTCATGGGTGGTAAGGCCACTGTGGAGAAGGGCTGTCAATGCTTATGTGGAATATTCAAATGCCAATCAGACAATGATCTCAATATTCATGTATTAAAAAATAACAAGACCCTCAGGTCCAACATAAATATACATGACCACGCCTTGGCCAATCACTTCACATGCAGTATTCCACAAGCATTCAACAGTGAGCAACACTGTGAGCTCACTTGTTCCACAACTGTGTATCTTCTGTACGGGCAATCTGCTTTCAAACGGAGCGGCTCACAGAAACATTACCTTGGAAACTGCGGCCATCAAGAATGCTGTATGTTTCCAACAACGCACTAATGTTTTACTATATATCATTTGACGCACAATTGCACGGCCAACACGATGGTATAACTTAAAACATTAATGCACGTATGGTTTTGAAGTTATTTTCAAAAAACTCTCCAAAAGGGCGCTTGATGTTGATATTTTTTTTTGCTGCACAAGCTGTTCGTCTGCACAGGACCACTTGCCGCTGCACTTACAAACTAATTGGACCCTACCCTTTTGTTCAGAAATAAAAAAGACTCGTTTCAAAAATTTTCATTTTTGTCGACAAAATGGGTCCCGCAACTATTTCGGTCGGCACCCAGTCAGCAAAAATGTTGTCAACAAGTCGTAACATCGGCTTACATCGTTTGCAAGTTAAAGCACCCTTCGATTTTCATTGGTTCGTTAGATATGAGTTTGGAACATTTTAGTAGCAAAAAACGACTGTTTTCATTCTGAACATGCATCCAGTTTTTACGCGTGCTGGATATCATATTGGCCCTCATGTGAGTTGAAAATCGTCCGTTTCTGAAATGGGCCGTTGTTCACATTAACGTGGCCGCGGCCAGATTTGCGATCACTTGCATGTGGACAACAACGCCACTGAACGCTTGCTCCACCACTGTGTATCATCTGCACCGGAAATCTGCCTTCAAACGGAGAGGCTCTCAGATACAAATCCATAGAAATTTGCGGCCATCAAGAATTCCATGTTTTCAGCAACACACTACTGTTTTTCTATATATCACCCGACGCGCAATCGCACGGCGAACACGATGGTGTAACTTCAAACCTTAACGCACGCTTATTTTGGAAGTTATTTCTAAAAAAATTCTCAACCAGCGCTCGATGTTGATTTTGCACAAGATTTTGATGCACAAGCTGTTTGCCTGCACAGAAACACTTGCCGCTGCACTTACGCACTAATTAGACGATGCGCTTTTATTCAGAAATGAAAAATCGCGAATGGGAACTTTTGATTTTTTCCGACAAAATGGCCCCCCCAAATTTTTGGTGTGTTCCTGGTGAGCAAAAATGTTGTCAGCAAGTGGTAACATCGGCATACATTGTTTGCAAGTTAAAGCTCACTGCGATTTTGATTGGTTCGTTAGATATGAGTTTGGAACATTGTATTAGCCGAAAAAGGGCTGTTTTGGAATCTGAACATTCATCCAATTAGTACACGTGCTGGATTTCACATTGGCCCACCCCTGGGGGCGAAAAAACGTCCGTTTCTGAAATCGGCCTTGTTCGCATCAAAGTGGCCACTGCCAGATTTGCGATCACTTGCATGTTGACAACAACGCCACTGAGTGCTTCCACCACCACTTCCACCACTGTGTATCGTCTGCACCGCCAATCTGCTTTCAAACGGAGCGGCTCTCAGAAACAAAACCTTGGAAATTTGGTGCCATCAAGAATGCTGTATGTTTCCAACAGCGCACTAATGTTTTACTTTATATCATTCGACGCGCAATCATCGCACGGCGAACACGATGATATAACTTAAAACCTTAACGCACGTATAGTTTTGAAGTTATTTCCAAAAAAGTCTGTCTCCAACGGCGCTGGATGTTGATTTTGCAATTGCTGCACAACCTGTTTTCCTGCACAGAAACACTTGCCGCTGAATATACACACTATTTGGACCATTCCCTTTCGTTCAGAAATGAACAAGATAGCGTTTGGAAAATTTTCCTTTCTTGGACAAAATGGCCCGCCCAAAAAATTGTCTTCGGCACCCGGTGAGCAAAAATGTTTTCAACAAGTGGCAACATCGGCATACATCGTTTGCAAGCTACAGCACCCTTCGTTGTTCATTGGTTCGTTTGAAATGAGTTTGGAACATTTTACACGCCGAAAAACGGCTGTTTTGAATCTGAACATTCATCCAATTGGCACACGTGGTGGACTTCATACTGGCCCTCATATGGGTCGAAAAAACGTCCGTTTCCAAAATGGGCCGTTTCTCGCATCACAGTGGCCACTGCCAGTCTTGCGATTACTCGTATGTTGACAACAACGCCACTGAATGCTTGGTCCACCACTGTGTATCTTCTGCACCGGCAATCTGCTTTCAAATGGAGGGGCTCAAAGAAACAAAATCATGGAAGTTTGCGGCCATCAAGAATGCTATATGTTCTAGGAACGCACTAGTGTTTTACTATATATCATTCAACGCGCAATCGCGCGGCGAACACGATGGTATAACTTGAAACAATTAACGCACGTATAGCTTTGAAGTTAATTCTAAAAAACTCTTCCGCACGTCGCTCGATGTTCATTTTGCAAACGTTGCACAAGCTGTTTCTCTGCACAAAAACACTTGCCGCTGCACTTCGACACTACTTGGACCATGACCCTTCGTTCAGAAATGAAAAATCGCGTAAGGAAACTTTTCATTCTTTTCGACAAAATGGCCCCCCCAAAGTTTTCGGTCGGTACCCGGTGAGAAAAAATATTATCAACAAGTGGTACCATCGGCTTACATCGTTTGCAAGTTAAAGAACCCTTCGATTCTCATTGATTCGTTAGATATTAGTTTGGAACATTTTACTAGCCAAAAAACGGCTGTTTTCAATCTGAACATGTATCCAATTTGCACGCGTGCTGGATTTCATATTGGCCCTCATATAGGTCGAAAAAACGTCCGTTTCTGAAATGGGCCGTTCTTTGCATTTAAGTGGCCGCGGAAGCCTTGCGATCACTTGCATGCTGATACCAACGCCACTGAATGTTTGCTCCACCACTGTGTATCGTCTGCACCGGCAATCTGCTTTCAAACGGAGCGCCTCTCAGAAACAAAACCTTGGAAAAGTGCGGCCATCAAGAATGCTGTATGTTTCGAGCAACGCACTAATGTTTCACTATATATCATTCGACGCGCAATGGCACGGCAAACACGATGGTATAGTTTAAAACATTAACACACGTAAAGTTTTGAAGTCATTTCCAAAAAACTCTCTCAAACGGCGCTCGATGTTGATTTTGCAACTCCTGTACAGAAACACT